GATCAAAATCTCAAACCACCACCCACCAAAAAATGTTCATCATGTACTTTTATCCTTTCAAGCAATTGCATTACGAAAAATTGAAGCAGTACCAAATACAGAGTAAATATTTCGTATAAATATATTAGCCTCGGCCATAATACCATAGTGGCAGACTACAGATACAATTGCATAACAATAATTAAAAACCAGCGGCAGACCACAGAAATAACAATGATAATGTCAAAAGCTTCAAAAGGACTAAAGGGCAAGTAACATACAGCGGAAGTAAGGAAAGCGCCAGACAATAACATTTTCATTCCAGTGCTTTGGTAGGAAACGCTTTATTGCAGGTAACAATGTTGCACTGCAAAGGAAGACAGCGCATAACAGAACAAAAATAGGTTTTAACTAAGGGAGAACCATCAACGATACATTTGAAAAATATTAAAGCAATAGGCTGCACCATATGGTGAATACTTACGAAAAAGCTAATATTCCAAGAAGAAAGAAATAGCAAGTCAGCACGGCATTGACCAAGTCCTTTGAAAAGAATTTGAAAAGTAAAAACAGAGATAACAGCATGGCACTCCCAACCAATGGAAATCTCATAGCATGTTCATTGGACATGGTCTCCTGCATCAGACACACAATCATATAAACAAATAAGCAACTTATAAGGTAAGAGCCGCCTCCACCATCCCTATATAGGGACATTCATTGTATAGCAGCATTGCATATTCTTCAGTACTTACAGTTGGTGGTGTATCCTTGACTGACCGGTAACAGCCAACAAATACAGCAAGACAAGCTGTTAATACCACGTTTACATTTGGATTCACCTTCACAACAAGTGGTGCCAAAGACAAGCCTGTAAGACCAGCAAACCCATGGCATCAAGATACAATTTTCTTTTTTCTCTAGTAAAAAAAAGGGGGTTAAAACACAAATCAGAGCATCATTGAATCGCAAATGAGTAACTAGATACTAATTACAAATAATATGAAGAATTCAAATCTCAAGAGCAACCCTTCAAATCGCATCAACCCCCGTCATGCTACCACAGTCACTTCTAATATCAACACCAACTAAAAACCAACTTGCTCGAGCACAACCATGACAACTACAAGAAGCTTTGGAAAGCTTAAAAAGTCAGTCATAAGCTCTACACAATTAGCCTACTTAACAATTCAGCAACCTTATATAACCATCTGCTACTAATATTATACTGTTTCAGCAACAATTTTGGGTAAAGCCATGGAGGAGTACGTTTATGCTGCCCCGCCCCACCCTAGTCCACGTCCCCGCCCCACGAACCAATAATGTATGTTCAACAACCCCGAGGCCAGTTTCATTTACATCTGACTATCAATTCAGAATGCCAACTACTGTATAAGCCTTCTTTTATCCTAAAATTGTCATATATCAACATCATATGCATGACATCCAACATACCAATTTCAATTAAAAACTTATCAAATGTCACTAATCAAGCCATTTAATACCCATAACTAATTGAATTAAAATATAAAAGAAAAGGATACTAAATATACAATTTATAGTACATTTAAAAAATCAAGCATGAACAATAACTCAATTTATATCATAACAATCATTGAAACAAAATCACAAACCTGCAAGGGCCAGATTCGCTAAACGTTCAAGGTTCTTCATTACTTCTCCAAATTTTACACTTAATTCAGCTTAAATTTCCCAAATTCAACGACCAAAATCCCGCAAATTCAAAATTACTTCTTATTCTATAAAAATTACACCTGCAAATCAACAATCGAAACCAATCAACACCAAATTAAATAAAAAAAAATTACCCCAACTAACCAAAAATCCAGACAAAGAAATACCTCTGGAGAAGAAATTAGATCTGATAATTAATTTTCCCAAACTATGTCTTCCCCAAATCAAATCAAAATCGCGGATCGAAGAACTAGAGAGAGAAAAAAAAAAGGGGGAAGAGGAGAGAGAAAATTAGGAGAATTGAAGAACTAATTAAAATGATAAGTTTTATAATTTTCCAGATTGCTAAATTGAGATCAAATCTAAAAAATAAAGTTTGGAAATTAAATTAGGGTTTTTAACTAATTGGTTGAAAATTTTTATTTAATGTAATATAACCGTTAGTTTTGGGGTGATAAATTTGATGAAGACATGTAGTTTCACTTAAACTGGGTGACAGACGAATCAGAGTTGAAGAGGTTATGACGTGGCGGTGTTTTATTGGCTGTGAAATGTTTGGTTTGAGGTTTTGTCTTGAGAGGAATGAAGTTGGATTATTTTGTAGCGGGTAAAATATGTTGGAAAATGTTTATTCCACGTCAGTAATTTACGTGTTGATGAAGTGGCGAAACCAATCAAAGAATGCCATGTCAGATTTTAAAATATCTCAGTAGTTTTTGGATTTGTTTCCTAATAGAGAAAATTAGAACAAAACGACAATGTGATGTTAGAATTTAGAAGTGTTGAAGGTTGACTTTGTTAACACTAAGCATTACAATATGAATGAAAAAATTGAAAACTATGCACCATTAAAATAGTACGTAGTATAAATAATTTAAATCTCAGTAAAGAGTATATTTTAGGGTATGTTGAATAATGTTTTAGTTTATAGTTCGAGATGAAGAGAGTGGTATAAATTGTAAAAGAGAAAGGTAATGTTAGAAAATTACTTCGTATATGTTGAGATAATTCTAACAAATATACTTACACGACTATATTTAATTTTACATAAGCACATACATTGATTATAGTGGCCTAGTGTATGTGTATAGTGCAAAAGTGAGCAATTAAATAAAAATAAATAAATGTCTTAATTGGGACAAATTAGCTCATTTGACCAACATTAGCTTACTGACTACAAAGATAAGTTAATTTAGAATGTTTGGTAGAAAGTTGATTCAAAGAGAGTATTCCACTTAATAGGCTTATTTTCAAAATGCTTATTCTACTAAATAAGTTCTTTTCATTAGCTTATTCAATATTTTAAGGTGAAATTACACTTATACATCGATTTAATCAAAATCCCTACCCCAACTATCTACCCCCACAATTGGCTTATTGATCATTTCGCAAACTCAACCAACTATAAGGAATCAATTGTTTACCAAACAATTTTATACAATTAGTTAGTTAAATTAGTTAATACAACCATCTAGTTAAAATCAATTGACACCATCTTATTCAACTTTGAACTTTTTACCAAGCACGGCTTTAGTCTTACCACCTTAATTTTGCTAAATTGAAATTATGTTTATTGAACTATACTTATTTTTACAAGAATTTATTTATTTTTTGTTGAACTTAAATTTGTTTTACTAACCTTAAATTTTTTTTAATGATTAAAACTTATTCAACGGATCCTTTGTTATATTTGTTCATTAGAGTTTTTTTTTTTTTTTTTTTTTTTTTTTTTTTTTTTTTTTTTTTTTTTTTTTTTACTGAATTGAACTTATTTTTACTAATTATTACTCCCTTTTTCCTTATTTTTGTTTTTTGTTTGTTTTTTTTTTTGCCTAATTTGACTATTCATGGTCTTCAAGACGCAATATCTCCATTCTCATACGCGTAAAAAAAATATATAAAATTGATATTAATAAAATATACAATGAAACAAATTCAATAAAACCCCACATGACTTCATCATCTCTTGTAGATTAATGAGAATTTATGGTCAAAGAATTCAAAATTCAACCCAAAATTTAGTTATTGGGCAAAATTATTAGGATGGATGGAGTATTTGAATATGAGAGTATACAAGTTTATAAAAATGGACCCCATACTAGTTGATTTATTTACAAATGTGCCATGATGACTAGAAAATGGACCCCATAATAGTTGATTTATTTACAAATATGCCATGACGACTAGACAAAATTGTTGATTTATTTACAATTTTGCCATTTGATAAACGAATTTTGTTTATCAAGGAGATAAATTGAGACTTCCTCTTTGAATATGGTGAAGTGAACAAGGTTGAAGTATTAATTTCCATTTGCCATTTATTGCGTTGAATGAATTTTTCATTTGCTAAACAGGTGAACATATACTATGATTTGTTTATCCATGTTGACGAAATTTGACCGAAGCAGTTGATTTTTTTTTTCCCCCGTAAGAATAAATAATGAGAGACATGTTCGACATTTCAAGTGGACCTACTCATCTCTTAGTTACAAAGTGTTCAAAATAAAGTTTATGTGCCAAGTAATGTTTACCATCAAAAATATTGTGTATGTTGTCTATACAAAATTCGAACATGCAACCTTAAGTTTTTAGTGCTTTATTAACACTATGTATTTTCAATAGGTTTCTTCCCCAAACAAAAAAATCAAAAGAACATTAAGTCATGATTTCCATGTAAAATACTACGGAGTACATACTACTATACTAGTAATCATTTTCATGTAATGACCAGAAGTGTCCAAACCCAAGCTAACTAAGGCCCTGTTTTTTTGAGCTAGCAGAGCAGATTTTAGCAGAGTAGAGCAGATTATATTATTATTATTATTACTATATATTATTATTATTATTACTATTATTATTTTTTTTTTAAATATTATTATTAATTATTATTATTATTATTGTTATTATTATTATTATCACATTATTATTATTAATTTTTTTTTTGTTATTATTAATTTAATATTGGTTATTAAAAAATATTAGTTATTATTATTATTAAATATTAATTATTATTTTTATATTATTAAATTAATATTAATTATTATTATTATTAAATATTAATTATTATTATTAATTTTTTTTTAAGCAGAGCAAAGCTGAGCAGAACAACTCAAAAGAACAGGACCTAACTTAACTCAAAAGTTACAAGATTTAAATTTCGACTGAACTTAGTGAACTACACTCGATCCGATTAGACCGAACCAAACCAATAGTTTCAACAACTCAAAAGTGCCAAGATTCAAATTTTCGATTGAACTTAGTGAAATACACTCGACCCGACTAGACCGAACCAAACCAATAGTTTCAAGGCTTTCAGCAACGTTTAATCAACTCTTACTGATGATTTTTGTTTTCTGGGAAATATCATTCACCCCTCCATAACCTCTCGAATTTCCTTCTATGCCGCGTTTCACAGGAAGCTTGGCGGTTCAACGCCTAATCTTTCACCAAACAACTCTTCGATTTCACAAATCTCTCTCCTCAAATTCATCCCAATTTCCCAGCATCCCACTTCACCTAATTCAGCACCATCTTCTCTAAAGGTCGACAAAATCCTTCTGAATTTGAAGCTTGGTAAGTCCACTTACTTTCATAACTATCGCACATTAACCCCTTTTGATATTGCTCAAATTCTGTATCAATGTCGTGAAAATCTGCATCTGGGTTTAAAGTTTATTGATTCTTTCTTGTTTAATTGCCCTAATTTTCGACATTCCACGCTTTCTTTGTGTGTTATGGTTCATATGTTGGTTAGGGGTAGGAGGGCATCGGATGCTCAAGCTTTGATTCTTAGAATGGTTAGAAAAAGTGGGGTTTCGAGGGTAGAAATTGTTGATTCTTTGATGGGGAGTTATGATCAATGCGGTTCGAATTCGGGTGTTTTTGATTTGTTGGTTAGGACTTTTGTGCAAGCCAAGAGGTTGAGGGAGGCTGCTGAGGTGTTCAAATTGTTGATTAGTCGAGGGGTTTTCGTGTCGATTAATGCTTGTAATAGTCTTCTTGGTGGGTTAGTGAAGGTTGGGTGGGTTGATTTAGCGTGGGAGATATACCGAGAAGTTGTTAAATATGGAGCTCAGTTGAATGTTTATACATTGAATATAATGATCAATGCTTTGTGTAAGGATGGTAAGATGGGAGATGTAAATTCCTATTTGTTAGAAATGGAATCAAATGGGGTATTTCCTGATAATGTGACTTATAATACGCTAATTAATGCTTATTGTAGGGATGGGAATGTCGAAAAGGCAATTCAAATGATGCATTCGATGTCAGGTAAGGGGTTGAGAGCTGGTGTGATTACCTATAATGCCATATTAAAAGGGTTATGTACAATGGGTGGGTATAGTAGGGCTAGGCAGATGTTGAGTGATATGAGGCAAATGGGTTTGTGTCCTGATACTAATAGTTACAATGCGTTGTTGATGGAGTGTAGCAAGAAAGATAATGTTCTGGATGGGGAACAGTTATTTGATGAAATGATACGACATGGTGTGGTTCCTGATGTAATTAATTATACATCACTTATTAGTTTGTTTTCGAAGAAAGGGCAACTTGATCAAGCCTTGATTTATTTTAAAGAGATGAAGGCCAAGGGGCTGGCTCCAGACAGTGTTTTATACACCATTCTTATTGGTGGGTTTTGTAAATCGGGTGTTATGTCCGAGGCGTTAAAGATGCGCAGTGAGATGCTTGAAAGTGGTTGCCTTATGGACGTGGTGACGTACAACACCATTCTGAATGGCTTGTGTAAAGAACATATGCTTGGTGAGGCTGATCAATTATTTGATGAGATGTTGCAAAGGGGTATATCCCCTGATTTTTACACTTATTCAACACTTATTCATGGTTATTGTAAGGCTAAGGACATGAACAAAGCAGTGGTATTGTTTGAAACTATGATTCAGAGGAACCTTAAACGAGATATTGTAACGTATAACACTTTGATGGATGGTTTTTGTAAGCAGGGTTTCATGGAAAAAGCTAATGAAACATGGGTTGACATGGTTCATCGAGGAATTTACCCTAATCACATTTCCTACAGCATTTTCATTAATGGATTTTGTAGTGTGGGGCGTCTTAATATGGCATTTAAGATTTGGGATGAGATGGTTAAAAAAGGTATTGAGCCTACTATTGTGACTTGTAATACCGTCATTAAAGGCTATTGCATATCTGGAGATGTAGCTGAGGCAGAAAAGTTCCTGACCAAGATGACAGCGAAGAGCATTCTTCCTGATAGTTTTACTTACAACACTCTTATACAAGGATATATCAAAGAAGAGATGATGGACAGAGCTTTTGTCTTGCTTAATCAAATGGAGGATCAGGGGATATTACCTGATGTCATATCATATAATGTGATATTAGATGGTTTTTGTAGACAATCTAGAATGGAAGAGGCAAACTTGATATACAAGAAGATGATAGAAAGAGATGTAAATCCAGACAGATCTACTTATACAACGTTGATTAATGGTTATGTTAGTCAGGATAACCTGAAAGAGGCCTTCAGGTTCCATGATGAAATGCTTCGAAGGGGCTTTGTGCCAGATGATAAATTCTGATGCACCTGTCAGGGAGTTGAATAAGTTGGACAGATAATTACCTCTCTGGTTTGGCTGTATGGAACTCAAATGAACTCTGATTATACTTTTATAAGGTAGCTTGATCATATCTTTTTTGGCCTGCAATATTGTTCCTGCTTTGGTTGCAAGTTATAACACTCCAATTTTTGGATCAGTTGTGTTTCATCTCTTAATGTTGCTGTATTTTTACTCATGCATTGTGGTGAACTTACACACCGATTGTGTTTGCTTGTTTCCAGGATCAATTTGTGAAACTGCACTTTGGAATTGCAGGTTGCTAAACTACTAGGAGCTTCTTGTTCTGAGTTATGAAGTCTGGAAAAAAGGTATATGATTTGCTGCTTGTCTTTTGCTGCTAATATTTCTGACTTATTGCATTATAACATATGCACTGTTTTCGTGTTGAACTGTTGTTTGCACTGCTTGTACCATCAGTCTGATATTTTCTTTCACTGTTTCTACAGGTAAGTCACAAGGGCTGATTGCTATGAAGGAGAATCTCAGGTTCATACCACTGTGAGCAAGTATGAAGTATTCTGCAGCTTTAATGTATTTAGGCCTCGTTTGTAGGAAATAAATTCTCATGGGAAATTCTAAATCATGGGAAATTATTTCCTTTATAAAATTCCTAGGAATTACACAAAGGTGTTTGTTTGTCATGTGGGAATTTGTAAATCCTAGGAATTGTGAATGGCCAAGGGTAGGGAGGGTGAATGAATTTCCATGTTTTGTGGGAAGATGAAATTCCCATGAATTGTGACTTCATCCTTTTTTGCTTTTTAATGTCGACCAAGCAACATGGCTAAAATCATGGGAAATTTGAGTGCATATGGAAATCAAAGGCAACCAAACAGCACCTTAAAGTACTTCTTAACTAAATCCTACGTAGAGATATGGCATGAATATTAAGGTGAGGAGAGAGAAAGGGAAAAAAAAAAAACAAAAAAACCATGGAGCAATGTAGGTATGTTGCATTTCTTCCAAATTCAACAATATCCAAAATACGGGGAGCATTCCGTTTTTTGTGAGAACAAAAGGGAATGTACTTGAATTGCTTGTTGATATAATTAGTTTTAATTCACCTCTTTTTCTTCCTCTACTTAATAACTCTTAAAACACGTTTTTGACCTACAAAGTTTTTTATTTTAAGAAGATGAATTTTGTTGAAATTCTATGTGATGACTCTATTTTATACCACTTTTCTGAGCTTTGAAATCATGTAGAGTTGTTTATGTTCTGTTACTATGGAACCATTAAAAGTTGATTATATGCATATCATTGTGTCTTTGAAGGCCATTTCAAAACAATGAACACCGATTGGGGGCTTGAGCATATAAGAATGTCAATGCTTAATTGAGCACGGTTACTTCAAACATCAACTTAATGACTAAAACATCACAAAAATGAGATAAATACCTTTCGGTAATTAATTTTTGACTAAATTATTCCAAAATAATAAATCCAAAAAATTAATGCTGTATGTGTACAAAACATTTTATTTTTTCCAAAGTTTTATTTTATAGAATGTTGTAGAAGTCTGGTATATTCATGGTTAGCATTGAGAATTTTCCCATTTTGTATTAAGCTAAAATAAAATTACTTGGGCTTTATTTCACTAAAATGGCAATTGTGTGTATGAATTTTGTCTTAATCTATTGCATTATCAATGTGATCTCTTGATATATGATTAGTTTGCAAACAGACTTTTCTAAAGGGTGTTTACTTGGGTCCTACTTCCTCCAAATTCTTCTTGGAAAAGTAAGAGACATCTATTCTGGACCAACAAACTGGCTTTTCACGAGCTTTTAGTCCTTTCTTGTTCTACAAATTCTGATCAAAAGTGGTTTTGCATGAAGCTGAAAGGTCAATTGCTGAGAAAAATTGTGGAGGTACTTGGGGGTTATGCTGTAGTAGGCTAAGCTCAATAATAGGGAAGTGAGGATCAGTCAACTGGTGGAGCTCCTGTTTATTTTCTAATCTTAAAGAGGCAGTTTGAATCATGTGTGTGCTATTAAATCTTTGTTGTAAGTCTTTATCTGGTGCCTCTTTCATGACTACGTTCTCATCTAGGTTAACTTCTTTGGATTGGCTCTGAGAGCTTTGCTGTTTTTTCTGAAGGATAAAGGAATATGTTCTGGGTTGTCATACAAACTTGAGACCATGCCCTTTATATGACAATGCTTAGTGTCACGAGCTGGCTCGTCCTGTGACATTAGGCTTTGCTCTCTTGGATTAGCTAGGAAAGCTTCTCTGTTGTCGCTAAAGAATAAGGAAAGACATTCTGGTGCGTTTTCTCTTGATTCTGTCTCTGAATTAAATTGTTTGAGCTCTTTCTTACACACATAATTTTGACTATAAATCAGCCTTTTCTCCCCTCTCCCTCGCCTCTTTATCTCCCTCTCTCTCTAAACTCTGGAGGCATATTAGACATGTACTATGCTATTATTTATTATTGTTGTTAACATCTAACTTATTCTGGTTCTTTTGCTTTTTAAGGCAATATGAAATATTGGTTTTATGTTGCTGCAGATTATACTTAATTGCCCAAGTATCCTTTAGTTGATATGCCTTTTGTTGCTGATGAATATCATCCCTCGGTAATACTTGGATCAAGTTAATTGTCCTAGTATTCTGTTAAACGTTAAATTCCACTGTGTTATTGCTGGCCAGTATAGATAGCTAATACTATTCCAGCATCCCCCAATGCCAGGTATTAACATATTGGGCCAATGAGGGTGTGCATGCCTGGTGGCACGTATACCAGCTTTGATCCATTGCTATTTGGTCTGTTTTTACTGCTAATTGGAAAATCTAGGGGCTTTTTCGTAGGCTTTGGATCTTATATTTTTATTGACTGTCCATTTTTGTTCAAATTTCAGGGGGTTAATAATGGAAGTCGTGTGGTTGGTAATTTTTTTTTAAAATTTCTATTCAAGATAGACGCTACCTTCCATCCAATTCACAAGCGTCAGCTAACGTATAGCATTTCCAAGTCCTTTACGTTTATTGCAAAGCAAGTTGAGCAGTTTACTCCATTATTTCAAAATGGTGAGTACTTGATAAGTATCAATCATATTTATAGCCAAGTAGGTTGTTTCTTTTGGCCTTGGTCTAAATTTTCAGCAGATTTTGGACCTATTCATCCTTTGATTATTCACGTTGATGTAATGCAAACTCTAATCTTAGTTACTGACTAATCGTGACTATGATGCTTCATCCTATACATTCTCAACATGCATTTGATTGTCGTTTGCCCGTTCATCTGAACAAAAGTCTTGTATTTATCCTACTAAACAAATATTCTGATGTGACTTTGATTAGGTCATGACTCATGAGCTGCTTATAATCTGCTCCTCTTTTTTTTTTTTTTTTTTTTTTTTTTTTTTTTTTTTTTTTTTTTTTTTTTTTTTTTTTTTTCTTTCCATATCATGTCATCAAACTAATCATAAAGCTGTTTCATTTTTTATAATTTTGACTGCCGATTTTCAATTTATTGTGAAGCTAGGTTAGTTGGAAATTGGTTAAACAAATTCTGCAGAAACACTGATGCAGGTTTAGATACTTTAGGCAGAAACACAGGCTATATTACTCATTTTGCTCTAGTTTTACATTTATAACTTCTTGTGAAATCTGGAATCACTCTGCTGTAGTCTTGACTCTTTGTATTGCATCCTGCTGGCGGATGATGCTTTTGATACTCGAGACCTCGCGTTGGGTTTTCCTTTTCCTTCATTTGTGGAATCATGAAGGTGACAAACAAAATTATGCTGGCTAAGATTGCTTTCTTAATATTTGTCCACAAAAGAACATTGATCTCTTAATTATGAAATGCAATGGAATTGCCCATGAAAGAAATTTCGGGGGTCTTTAGTTGTAGAGCATGTACTACTGTATATAGTTTTGTACTTGATACTCCATTTGTCCGAATATCTTTTTTTTTTTTGAAAGACCAAGATCCGCCAAAAATTGTAAACTTTGGGGGAAAGAGTTAGTACGAATCAATTAATCATTAGGACATTAATTGTCATAATTTCAACCCTAATAATTACGGAGTTTAGGACATTTAATTCCAAACATTGTAAAATAGTGCATGTGACTATAAGTATTATTCTATTATATCTAGACCGAGTGGGATTATGTGAATCTAATAAACACATTCATACTAAGTTGCCAATGCTATCCGCCAATAAACTTTATAGAAATCTCTCCCTTTTATTTATTTTTTGCTTATTAAATAAATTTCTCCTTTGTTTATACCTCATTTTTGGCGTGTCTTAAATCTCTAAATTTTTGTTAAACAACTTTTTTAATTGAACATTTACGAATAAAATGTCAATTGAGTGTGGGGTTGGGGGTGTTGTTTGATGGATTCTCCTAATCGTTATGTGTAATTTTGACTCTTAATAATTGTGTTTTTGTTGCGCAGGCAATTACTACTTTTCTATATTAATCATAAACGTATATTTTAGTACATTTGTATATAATTATAAGCGTATGATTAATATTTAATACGTTTATAATTATAATTGTTTGTTTATTACTCTGTGGTATTAACGAGTGTTTACTAATTCTTATAGAATTACGAAATTCATTTAATTTAAATATATAAATAAAAATTAGACACCATGATGATATTATAATGATGATAATGGTAGAAATGTCTTTATTGGTTTGGATTATACTCAAAGTAGGTGGTATGCATACGGTATGCTCACCCACTAATCAAACACTTTCCTTTTTATATACGTACTTTCATTACATCACTTGTAAGTAGCATGAAAGGAGAAAAAATTATAAGACTTTTTAACTTAATTTTATTTAATTTATTGTTAGAAAAATGTTGTAGTAGTTGTTGTTGATGTGTATTTTTTGCAAGCAAAATAATTTTTAACGCGTGGAATTAATGTGAGTTGTTTGTTATGGATATTGAAAAAATAAACAAATGGGCAACAAATTTTATGGGGTATTGAAAGAATAATAATTCCTACATTACGCATTACATTAATCAACACCCAATCGATAGTCTAATAATATAAACTACGAATAGTAAGCGTAAAATAATTTCGAACTAGCCTGGTAAGGCTTAGACTATAGTATCAAATTCCACTTCAGGGTGAGAATTCTGTTATCCATCACCCTCATTCTTAATGAGTTTAATCTGTAAAGATGAACTGAATTGACCAGTGAGAAGTGTCGAATTTATAGGATTCTTGTTAAAATAATAATCGTGAGCGGATTTGGATCATAGTAATGGTCCAATACTCCAATGTAATAACGGCCTGCAATCAAGCACCAAATTTTGCAGATAATCATGATGAGAAGAAGGGGAGGTTTGTGCATGTGAATGAATTAATTGAATTGAACATACAATCTGAAAATGACTTTGTTTTGACCAAAAAAAACATAATGATATCAATACTATTTAAAATTTATTTATATGTTTAAGTTTCACCAATTCAATTCGATTTGTAACACATTTTGGTCCGACCATTAATAATGGCAAAGAGGAGGCGCATGAATAAAGCTTCATCACTTTCCCAAGTATCTTGTGCATCTACATATAGATATAGTGGGCTGCTTGTGCTTCAGTCTACTAAGGGATGCAGTCAAACTGCCCGTGGTTTATTTTTTTTGTTACTTTTGATCATTGTTTTCTAAGATCGTCGTCAGGAGCGGAATCAGAAATATATATTAAAGGGGGTCATAATATAAATTTTGTACTTTTGGAGGAGGCCGAATATATAAATTAACCTATTTTAAGCAAAAATTAACAATTTTTTTTTTTTTAATATTTTTAAGAAATATTAAATATTGGCGTGGCCACGGCCCCCGTGATATTCCGCCACTGATCGTCGTGATAAGTCATCTCATAATAATTGTGTGCAGATTTGGATCATAATAAAATGCATGTTCTCTTATACCATATGCGTTTAAGATATTATTTTACGTGAATACATAATATACTTCTTTGTTATGAGTTATGACAAGTCTCTAACACAAAATTATCGTTATAGTAACTCATATTCGAACAAGGAATTTCACATAATCGATCATGCAAACTAATTTTTTTAAAATATGTCCATAGTTTTTTAGGTTGTTGTTTGACAATCAATTTTTTGTAAGTGGGGTGAATGAAGTAGTGCGCTGTGATCATTATGGTCAACTCTATGTATCTGGGGTGGTGGGTAAGTAAACTAATTACATGTAAGTTTTGCATCAAGTCATCAACAGCAACTGATCATGAAATTATGGGACATGATTGGTAGAGTATTCAACTAACTATTTTGGTAATACTTGGTTTTTTAGATAGCCACAAGGGTGAATGATGAGAATCGATTCTAGAAATCGGGAGAGAAGCTTCAACCACTTGAGCTATCCCTCATACTCTCGTTTTGGTAATACTTGGTAGTCTATATTCATTTTCGAATTACCATTTGGATTATGAACACTTTTTTAAAAAAATTATTATGTAAAATTTTCATAATATTTATTACCAGGAGTGTGCTAGTAATTATTGACTGGATGTGAAAGAAAATCATTAGAACTATCTTAAAGTTTTTTTTTTTTACATGCCATCAATAAAGACCTTTGAATTGCATACAAACTGAATCATGTCATTTTAATTCATGATTTTCAATTGTGCCACTTTATCTTTAACATCAAATAACCTTAAACTTCTCAATAATAATCAATGGATTCGTTGATGTTAGTTTTTTTTTTATAAATTCACTATCAACTCGACAACTCATACATTTTTTTTAATGAAATTGCCAACAGTTACAAACTACTCCATATTTGGATTATCACCTTTAGAATTCTATATATCCGTCATCCATTTTAATACAGTTAAAATATTATCTTTCTACGGTATATATAATTGTACTTGGAAATTTTGTAGGGAAAAAAGGTTAATAAGGAAAGCATCCCTACACAATTACTATAAGATACCAATGAATAATGATTGAAACGTGACACTTAGTGGCTCTTGTTTAGAGGAGGGAGAGTCAAGATTTTCCAAAATTATTGGTAATATTGACTCCTTGATGAAGCTAGAATCGTTGACCTTTTTAAAAATTTTGGACACTAGCTTGTAATGGCACCTCAACTAGACTGTTTTACCTATAAGTCAAATAATGTATTCAATGAATTTTTAAGAACCTAATTAATCTTGTTTCACGTGACAATGGAGTAATAAATAAAAGGAACATGTAAAGAGTACAACTTGATATTTAAAGTATTCAAAATTTTGATTATCTAGATTTGAATCGCATTGGTATTCAAATAAGGTATATGTTGTTTTATTCACGAGATTCGAACTCTTAGACAATTAGTTTAATTGGAAAACTCGATCCTTTACCTAAACAAACAATGTTAAATTATTACTCTCGCCAAAAACCTATTATAACATGAATTATAATATGTAAGCTAGAGGATTGATCCCAGGCAAATGCAATCTTGTTACCAAATAAAGCAAGTATTAAAGGTTAACAATTATGAAACCACCCAATCATCTAACAGTGTTTTATTTGTTAAAAATCAATTTTAAATTAGTCTTATCTTTTATTGCCTATTTCCTTCATTCACTAAAGGGACAAAACATTGTCATCTCATACACTCATGCGTCATTTCTTACAATTAATAAATAAATCCAACATATATTAGTATCAATATCAAAATTTGAGATTTAATTAACCCCCTAATCATGTACTAACACTACATAATTAGCTGTTGATCCCGGAACAAGCAACTAAGCACATGACAAATAGCACAATTAATAACTAAATAACATGACTTTAGTTGCTCAATTAATTGACTATACTAAGCCAATTAATCATAATCATATATATCCAACTTCCTTGATAGCTACAACATCAATGACCAGTCCACACACAATCGCTTTCATATTATCGATTAATTATCCAATCTGATCTAATCTGAATTAATTTAAGACCAATGCCTTTCAAAATAATAGTGATATTGCATGCAACTTATAACTCTTCAAAGCCGGCATAGCTGACCACCGTCCCTTTTTAAATCCCAAAATTAACCTCATTTATATATACTAAAAACAAATCTAGACTTTTTCCTACCAAATACTATACAATAATATTAATTAAATATATATGGCCCATTCTAATAATTAAAATTAAATTAAACTTTATGACTTCTTCTAAAGTCAAACTTATGTATATACCCACCTCTATATATTATCTTGTCTTGTGCTTCTTCATTCCCCCAAATATTGCCTAATCTCATATCATCCCTTAAAATCAATTCCATTTTTTCTCTCCAAAAAATGGTTAATTTAGCAATATTAACCAAGTTTAATCCAACAATATCATGCTTTAAAGGAGTTTCATTATTGTTATTATGTACAAATCCAAGAATAAAGCTTATATTATGTGAAGGTAACACAAAAGTGTTAAAAGGGCGTACAAAAATCAAAGCAGGAGAGATCATGTTTGAGTTCCCGGATTGTGTAGTTTGTCACGCAGACTCCTTCATTCTAGGCCGTCCGATCCCAGTCCTAGCAATCCACGACTACCTCGTGGCTGGCCGTACATACTTCGTCCTCCCCCTTGACCGCCTTCCTCGTGGTGGACCACCCCTCTCCACGGCCTCCTTGCAGTCCCTCTCAACTCCTTCTCCTAACAACAACGGTAACAGTAACAATATTATTAGTAGTTGCCCTAGTAAAAGTAACAATAATTATTGTAAGTTGTTTAGTGGTGGTAATGACAATGGTAATAAGAGTCCTTTTGAGTATATTAAGGATAAAGATGGTAGAGTACTTATGATTAAGGTTGTACCTGAGTTTATTACTAGGATAATTAGTGCTAATAATAACAGTCCATCTACTAGTCCTAATAATAATACACTTATATGTACCACACCGGAGTTGCAAAAACAATATGAACAACTTGTTAGGGCTAAAGATCAAGGATGGTCTCCAAAACTCGAAACGATTTCCGAGCACAAGATGAGAGCTTCTCCTTCTAAGTTATTGAGGTTGGAATGGATACAAATCAAGCAAAAATAATAAAAAATGTATTTATAGTTTTTTTTTAAAAATAATTAGCACGTAATTAGTTTTTTTTAATTATTAGAAAGGTTTTTAGGGTAGCTTTTTTGTTGGTGATCTAGAGTGATCAATATTTTTTTATTATGTGATTATATGTATGATGCTAATTTAATGAAAAGTTAAGCATGCATCATGATATATGGTTTATTATGGTTGATGTTGTACATATAAATTATACCTCTTTATTTTATTTATATGTAAAAATGTTAATACTTTGTATTTTGATGATTATAGAATATATATTTTATGTTGATCCGATCCTACATGTACTTTAATCAGTATGTATTAATCATGTGATCAATTATAAATAAGCTAGGTAATGCAATGTCAGCAATGTTTTAGGCAAAGCTAGAACTTTTTTAAGCACACTCAAGCATAGTGACATCGATCTCTTTCAATTCATTGCTTAATTTTGAACCGATCATTCAGAACGAACCCATTATATAATCACGAAAAGAGAAGAAAAACACTATTAATTATGTAAACTCGATACATGTACATGGACTCGTAACCTTGTAAACTATCCCTTTTTAATGGTGAATCAGTGAAAATCGACTTCTTATTATTAGCAACATAATAGGATACTAAAATTGATAATAAGTTCGTTCATTCAAAGTATAATGCATGTACAATAAAAATCTAAAAAAGTGTTTGATTGTAAGATTTGATGAGTTGTTTTGATTATGTCTTGTTACAGTTATTATTAATGCTGTTACTTCTTGATGACTACAACAACGATAACGATAATAGTAGTTGTAGACTTGTAGTAGTATGTTAGAAACTTCATAATGTTCCAGCTGATTGAAAACTATAGATCGATCGTTCTAATTTAAATAAGATTGAGTAAGTTTAGTCAATTGTAGTTGAACTAAACACACTTTTATTGTAAAGTAGCCTTTGAATTATTTACAGCATTCAAAAGTATCACAAGATTTTTCTAATCTTAGAAGATTATCATAATATGAGAAAAAACTACTACTCTCTCTGACTATTATATGTTGTCAAAATTGACATATAGTAATACTTTTGATACCCTAAAACCTTAGTTTGTAGTTATTATTTATTTATTTCCAAATATATCACATGTATCTTGCAAATGAATACTAAAAATTAATTCAATTTATTTGAAGTTTCAAAACTTTTGGACTTGGGTGAAATACCGAAATTCGGATATTATGAGGTGGATAAAGTACGAGAAATTGTGATAGTCTTCTCAAACTATGGTACTCAAAAGGGTTGAAACTATGAAATTTGTTCTATTTGCATTGATGAAATGCCTTAAGCCTCCAATGACTCTAATCGTACATATATAATACTCCGTTCATGTCATATAAATATATAACTAACCAGTGTTCTAAGTAACTATGTTTTATATTTTATATTATTTGTCAAATGCTTAAAACAACATTAGTTGTCATTTTTTAATACTTAAACTATAAAACTACCCTTATTTATTTGGGCAATAATCTTAAAAACACATTACCAATTAATGTGTAAAAAAAAAAGCATCAAGTGGGCAATGGCTTAACAATAAGATGAATACTGGTTGTTGGGCCTTTAAAATACCAGGAACTCGTGTAATGGGCCTTTAGAAAATCCACATCTCAATACTTTTGGGACCATACTTCTTTTGACCCAAATCTCCCCTTTTTTTTTTTTTAAAGAAACCCACTACGGGGAACTAATTATATAAATCAGAAGAAGCTACATCAAGGATACGAGTCGAGATTACATCAAACCACATTCGTTGACCCACTTCCCAAGGTTGAAAACGAGCCAACTCATACGCTACCCTATTCCCTCCTCCTTTAACAAACGACCAAGAAACACTAGCAAAATAATTACAAAATAAAAAGATATCTTCGATGACTAAATGAAAATTGCTAGAGCCAAAGTCTTTGTTTCTCAGAGCTTGAATAACTTGCAAACAATCGTTTTCCACAACAACCTCCTACACACCTGAGCTTGCTGCCAACCTTAGTCCCCAAAGAACAGCTTGTGCTTCAGCCACCCTCACCTCCCATTTCTCCCCTCCTTGCTGCACACCAGCAGCCTGAACAATCCCCTCACCATTCTTAATCACAGCACCAAGCCCACAGCCCAGCTCCCCCACAAACCCCGCATCCACATTGACCTTGGCAGCCCCTGCAGATGGCACCAACCAGCAAACAGGAGCAGAAACCCCCCCAGCCGCACTCTGACCAGCCCCCATCCTTACTGAAACCACCTTAAAAATTTCTTCATTCGTCTTCAAAGCATAGCGTGCAACATCAGCAGGGTCCTTTCTCACACCCTTTACCACCAATGAGTTCTTAGCCCCCCAAATTGCCCAAGAAATAGAAATAACATTAGCCACATCAATGTCATCAAGCTCCAAGAAAACCGAGTCCCACCAATCAACCACATTTTGGGATCTCATGGAAGAAACAACCTCATAATCAGTTTTGCTCCAAATCGCCTATGCATAAGCACATTCTTTCAAATCATGAATAGTGGTCTCGAAGTCCCTGCTGCAGATAGAGCAATCCGGATCATAGCTATGAATACGAGACTGAATTGAGCAGCAGGTAGGAAGTGCGTTTTGACAAGCCCTCCAGGCGAAAATTTTACTTCTTAGAAGAACATTCAACTTCTAAATTTTCTTCCAAATATCACACGCACAGGTTGATTCTGCCTCCTCCCTCTTCCAATCATCATCAAACAAAGCACGGTATGCAAACCTTACAGTGTACTCCCCCTTCTTATCGAGATCCCAGCAAATTTTATCATCAGATAAACGATCACTGATAGGGATATTACGGACTCTATCTACTTCAAAAGGTAAAAAAATCTGAGAAAACACATCTACCTTCCAACAGCCCAGAGTCGAGTCTATCAAATCACACACTTTCATTTCCTTAGTATGATCACCCTTGGGAGACAAAATACATCTCGATTGAGTACCTGACACCCACTGATCAACCCAGACCGAGATATTTTCCCCATTCCCTACTTTCCATCTCATCCCTCTACGCACAACCCACCTCGCCTCCGCAATCCCCCTCCATGTATAGTTGGGATTAGAGCCAATCTCGGCCTCCATAAAAGAAGAATTCGGATAATACTTGGCTTTTAGCAACCTCTGTAGCAAACTCCCTGGCTTAGACAGCAATCGCCAAGCTTGTTTGCCAAGCAAAGTCCAATTAAAGAGCTTAAAGTCTCGAAATCCTAAGCCACCATCCCCCTTAGGCTTACACAATTTCTTCGTTCCACGATAACCAGTGAATCTTCCTCTCCCCTTGCTTTTGCCCCCACCAAAACTGAGCCACAAGCGATCTCAACTCATCAAAAAAAGAAGATGGAAATTAAAACACGCTCATTGCGAAGGTAGGGAGAGATTGGGCCACTGCCTTTATCATAACCTCCCTATCCGCCTTAGATAACACCATCCCCTTCCAACCTTGAAGCTTTTTCCAAAGCTTCTCCTCCCCTCTAGTGATGACTTTCTTGGATCTTCTGACAACAGTAGGAAGACCAAGATAACGATCATGGATATCAACCTGTCTCACACCCAAAAACTCCGCCAACTCCGTCCGTTTCATCACCGGGACACCCTTACTAAAAGAAACAGTCGTCTTATCAAAATTTATTTTTTGGCCTGAAGACCACTCATACATCTCTAGCACATCGCGAATCACCTCACAATCCCCCATAGTAGCCTGCGGAAAAATAATACAATCGTCTGCAAAAAGCAGCTGACTAATAGAAGGAGCCGTTAGGGCAAGCAGAACACCATGCAGACTACCCTTTGTTGAGCTTTTTAAGTTTTTTTTCTCTTCTTTCTCAACTCATGAAAAATGGCACGAAACTTTGAAGCACTCCATTCTTTCAAGTCGCCAGCACACATGAAAAGCTTCGACTCCAAATTAACACCCCCCTTCCACGCATCCTCAACTACCCCATCACATCCATCATCAGACTGCCATATTTGCTCAAAGTGAAATGGTTTATTACCAAGTCCATTAATCTCATTCTTCTATAAGTAATACTCAATCGGGGCATGGTCAGACCATTCCTGATCAATGTGAATAAGATAAGCATCAGGAAAAGCTTCGTTCCAAATTTCGGTAGCTAATGCACGATCGAGATGACTTTGAACGTTCTCACCCTCCTCCCTACCGTTATCATAAGTAAAATCATAGCCCGAGTAAGGAATACAAGTAAAACCACAAAAAGAGGTTGCATCTCTGAAGCTAGCCATTTGCCACTCTGCTCTATCATTTCCACCATTCTGCTCCGATGCAAAAAAAGTTTCATTAAAATCTCCCAGACACACCCACGGAAGGTTCGAGTGAGAAGCAAGTTCCCTCAATAAGCTCCACGATAAATGTCGATTATTGATATCCGGCCAACCAACCATAAAAACCCGTAAGTCTCCACACCCCTTCCCCCAAGCCACCTCTAATTTCAACATCGACATGGTGAATAAACACAGAGTTAAGAGCGACATCCACACCCTTCCTCCATAACAAAGCAAGACCAACCGAGCGTCCAGCCAAATCCACTACTACACTATCACCCAATCTACTTTGAACTGTTTTAAACTCACTACTGCTCAACTTCGTCTCTGATAAAAATACCACAGACGCGGCCTCTCTTCGGACTAAGTCACAAAGACCATTAACTGCAGAGGGATTGCCCAACCCTCTACAGTTTAAGCTCAAGATACTCATGGAGCTCGGCAGGGTTGCTTAATTGCAACCTCCGCCATCCACAATCCATCAAAAACATCATCACTCTTTTGCTTCTCACTTTCTGTCACCAATCCAGAAATATCATTATTATCATCCCTATACCTCTTGCCCAAAACCTTGTCCCCATCCACTTCCATAGCACCACTTCCACTAACCCCCTTCTCCTACCCCAAAGCACGCCACTTTCTACCAACCCTTATAGAATTCCTGACCCCCTTCCCTGCA